GGAATGTGAGGGGGATGAATGACCCAAACAAAAGGGCCATCATCAAAGTGGGAGTTAGAGAGTTGGGTGTTAATCTAGTTTGCTTTCAGGAGACAAAATGGAAGTTTTGTCGGATGTGATTGTGAGGAGTGTCTGGGGAGGTAGTTGGGTAAAATATGACTGGGTTCCGGCAGCGGGAAGTGCTGGGGATATTCTTCTAATATGGGATGATAGAAGCTTGGAGGTAAATGACATTAAGAAGGGAGTTTTTTCCTTAGCAGCTCTTGTCAAAGATAGAGTGAGTGGGGGTGGAGTGGGGATTTTGGGGAGTGTACGGACCGGTAGGAGAAGGGTCCAGAGTGTTTTTCTGGGAGGAACTGGCCAATATGATGGGGGAATGGGATATTCCTTGGGTGCTAGAGGGAGACTTCAACACTATTAGATTCTCGGAGGAGAGATTAGGGTGTAGTATGATTTTGAGGGCCATGGAGGAGTTTTCTGGCTTCATCAATGATCACTTTCTCATTGATCTTCCTCTGTCAGGGGAAAGGTTTACTTGGACCAGGGCGGAGGATTCCAACTCAAGGTCTAGACTTGATAGATTTCTGATATCGCCCTCCTGGGATGAGCTGGTACCGAACGTGTTGCAGATTCCTTTACCTAGGCTGACTGCAATTTATTAACATTTTGTAGCATCAGAGCTAGTTATTATAGATGGGGGTGCTTTGTTTGCTAATTTCTCGTCCAGAAGAGGAGTCATGTTATATATATAGATGCACTATGTGTTGTATCTTCTATCCTCTTGATTTGGATTTGTGCATATGCTTATTGAGTTGAGCCCAGTTCCAAAAGCAATTTGTTTGGTTTTAAAAACCAAACAAGGTTTTAAGTCATTTCACAACCCAGTGTTGTCAATTGTCCTAAGCCCTGAAGCGAGGCTCAAAATATGTTGAGCGCGTCGCCTCGCTTTACGGGCACTTCAATGTCGCATCAAGGCTCTAAGGCATATTTTTCCTTGCCAATGAATGTAATCCCGAAAAAGGTGACACTAAACAATTGATATTTCACTTTATCGTAATTCTTTTTCAATTTTTTTGCCCATATATTTGTTATTCATGCTTATAATTATTGGTTTTGGACTACATATACATATTTTTACTTTTTCTTCAATTTGCGTCTTTTTTCTATTAAAGCCCACTTCTATTAAAGCCCACGCTTTATTTGCACTTTGCGCTTAAAGCCCCAACGGACTTAGAGCTTTTTTGCGCTTTATGCCTTTGATAACACTCAACCATGAGGAGTTGGCATGCGAAGAACCCAAGGATTTGGCCTAGTGGTCAATTAAGTGGGTTGAGAACCATGAGGTCTCAGGTTCAAATCCCAAAGGAGGTAAAAAATAGTACTTCCTCCGTTTCATATTAATGAGGTAGTTTGACTCGGCACGGAGTTTAAGAAAAAAGAAGAAGACTTTTGAATCTTGTGGTTTTAAAAGCTTAAGGGGTAAAAAGTTTGTGGGGCCATGACAATTGTGTGGCTATAAAAGCTTCTCATTAAGAATAAATGGGTAAAATGAAAAAGTTTAAAGTTGAATTATTTTCAAATTTAGAAATGTGTCATTTGTTTTGGAACAGACTAAAAAGGATAGTACCTCATTTAATATGAAACGGAGGGCGTAGGTGATTTCTTGCCATTTGTCCAAGCCTTGGTGGACAGAGTTACCTGGTATTTGTTGCTGCTGGGAGGTAGTAGGTATCCCGTGGAAATACCATGGTTATTAAAAAAAAGGAGTTAGCATGCAAAAGCAATAACCACATGAGAAAAGGAATTCTTTTCAAAAACTTGCATCTAAATCTTCTGCCTTATCAAAAAAAAAAAAATCTGTGTACATTCATCTATATTTCCTTGGTTTTCTATGTGTATATCTATGTCATCTTCATATGTGTATGTAAATTATTTGCATGCACAATTGTGGATTATATAAGAAATTTATAATCTGTGTCATATTGTTTCAAGCATGTCATTGCACTAGTAGAAGTGCTTGGGAAGCAATTACTGACGTTCTTCTTACATTTGCCTGTTATCTGATCTTTAGTTCTTCATGGTGAACTGATATATTTTCCAACTTCTAATGCTTTGTTTTATTACTCGGTTTCAGAAAATTGACCCTAATGTACCAGCACAACTCTTAGAGTATGACAAACGGTTTGAACAGCATGGAAGCGAGTTCACATTCTACGACTACAACCAACCAGAAGATCTTCCTTCATCATTGAAGCGCTCATATCCAATAATTGTTGCAGATCCTCCTTACCTGGTGAGAGCTGATATGTGCTGTATACTGAAGTGGTTCTATGATTATTAAAGAGTATCTTTTTTTGTACTATATTTCATTTTTACTTGTGACTAATTTGATTTCTGAAATTCCCTTGTATAGTTAAGAGATATCTATAAATAAATTGTCTTTCTTATATTCAGAATTTTGCCTATAGTCGAAGATCATCCATTGCTTAGTTATGGGTTTCTCACCTTTGGATGGTATGGTATATGAAAAAATTGCATAGTTTGCATGAAAGTATCCCAAATTTTGACTGTTCCATAGTCTGGCATGCAAGTTTTTAGTGAATCTTATTCTTGCCCTTTTCTTTTCTTCTCTAAATTTGGTCATCTTAATGTCAAATGTTACTTTCTCTTCTATCAGAAAATTCACCTATTAACCTCATGCTTCTTTTCAGTTTCTACTGGTCTCCATTACTGAGAGAATTCTATGCTGCCTTGATTGTTCGTTTTTCTGATTTGTTATTCTTCGGGCAACAGGCATTAATATCTAGTTGGAAAATGCTCATAAATATTATTTATCAAAAATAATTGCTCATGCCTCACAAACACTATTTTTATCTTTACCTCTTTCTTCTGCCTTTTTATTTTATTTCCATTGTCTTTACCTTCTATTAATCTGCATTTCCAAGGTCAGCATGGGTTACCTCTAAGCCTCAAGATAAGCATGGTTTACCTCTCTAAAAATGCAAGGATCCTGCTTTAAAAAACCTGAAGATAGGCTTGCCTGAAACTGACCTCTAGAGCATCTTCAGCTATATTAGAAGGCTGTTTTGTAACCTAGAAAAGAATAGATACTTCTCGTTCAATTAACCTCTTTTATCTCTGTTAGAAAACTTACAGCTTTTATGCACTGTTGTGATTCTGAAGATGAATTAATTCCATTATTGACGTTACTTGTCTTGTGCAAGTTTAACATTTGTACGATGATTCATTCACCTCTGTTCTTTTATTTTTCAGAGTGGGGAATTCTATGAAAGTGAATTATTCACATCATTGTCATTACCTCTGTGCAAGTTTGACATTTACGCGATGGTTTATTCAATACCCTTTTTTTAAAATTTTCAGAGTCGGGAATGCTTAGAGAAAGTCGCTCAAACAATTTCTTTTCTCATGAGACCAGGACCACCTTACTTGCTTTTACTCACAGGTACATACTGAATTTTAAGGTGTTTTGGGACCTGGCCTCCCATCGTTCGTCTTGTTATAGGTCATTGAATCTAGTTATTTTTTTCTTAAGGATCATTAAACATTGAATGTAGTTATTTCTGCCTGTTTTCATTCTTCATGGTTGTCATGAAGCTGCTTACTAATTTTAATAGTAGCAAATATTACAACAACAACAACAACAAACCCAATGCAATTCCACAAGTTGGGTCTGGGGATGGTAGAGTGTACGCTGATCTTACCCCTACCTTTTATGGAGGTTAGTAGCAAATATAACGTTTGATTAAAAAGTCGAAACCATCAAATGGTTTAGAGACAAGGTTTATCGACTTTCATCTGTCTCCAAACCAAAAAGAGGAAGAAATTTTTTTAGAAGAAAAGCGAGTGAGAATGCTACTGAAGTAAAGCAAAGAGAGAAAAAAAGGGAGAAAGTGAAGAAGGATATCCTGTCTTGAAGATAACCAGTGTATGCCTTGAATGTTCTTAACCTCTCTTTCTTTTTTTCTTTTTCTTGGACATGCAGGTGAAGTGCAAATGGATAGGGCTACAGAGCTCTTGGGTTTACGTCCATGCGTTTTTAGGCCACATCACTCGAGCAAACTAGGCAATGAGTTTCGACTATTTACAAACTATGACCCAGGGACGAGGCTCGGTGGCTGGGAGCAGGCGTAACAAACGCTTGTTCAATCAGAAATCCTCTTCACCAATAACGTTGTAGGTTGACATTGGTTCGTGAGAGAAGCTTTTTAGAACATATTTCAAGCTAGCTACACATCCTTTCATGAAATATTGTTTCTAGACATTCTTCAGTTACCTAAACATACCTCAAAGAACAAAAATATTAGAAATAATTATATAGCTGTATTCTGGTTTCACGTTCAGTTACTACTTGTTTCTTTCTATTGAGGACTATTTAAGGTGCTCGAGAACCCATTATCCATACAACTTGTCAAATTTTGTCAGCATTTTACCTTCAGTTCTGCCATATCCATCTTTACCTAGTATTCATTTATATGTTTTTCCATGGATTGTACCTTGTTATCTCTAAGTTTTAGTTTCATCGGTGGTTATTCAAGGTAAGGTTTGTAACACAAAAGTCACTTTTTTTCGTTAAAATAGCACGGTTTAGTCAGTTTTCAGACTGGTCATTCAAAAATAGCCAGCGTTTGCCAAGTCATTGAAAAATAACCACTAATTTGCTGCAACAGAGACCGATCCAGCATAATATGAACTTCCAGCATATTATGCGGGATCGGTATACTTTGCTGGCTCCAGTATAATATACTAGAGACTGGAGCACCGGTGCTCCAAACTCCAGTATATTATATTGGAACTCCAGTATATTAGACTGGAGTTCCAGTATAATATACTGGAACTTCAGTATATTATGCTGGAGTATTTTTTCGTATTTTGAATAGTGTTTTCGTTTAGATTTATCTTTACCTGAAAAGTGGCTAAATTTCGATTACTTTTAAAACTGTGGCTATTTTTGAATGACCATGTTACGTCCCGCAGTTTTACGTCGATGTTATGCTATGAAATAATATCTTACAATAATGTTACCCTCTGCAGTATTACATTACGATGATGTTACGCTTCACAGTATTAAATTACGATGATGTTGCACCCTGTAGTATTGTACGTTGAATTGGTCATAAGGTAATTGACATCAGTCCAAGTAAAAGATTATTTGGAGATTATAAGGATTATGCTATTTTACAAGTGATGAATAAATTCGTGAAGGTGAAAGGGGAAGCAAGTCAAATAAAATGAATTTTCATCCATGTTTGGCATGTGGGGTAAAATACGGGTCGAGCATTAATACCCGATATTTATGAACTAGTACCATACAAGGTACCATGTGACCATGATAGTGAGATATATAAAGTGTATTAAGAATAAGTAGAATTTTAAGTAATTTGAGACAATTCTTAATTATGCGGGTAATTGATTAATTACCGAGTAACAGAACATTACCCAATTAACTAATAAGTGGATAAAGTTTAATATTTGCCATTCCCTCAAAACGTGGCAACTAGCCACATTGTAAAGAAGTCAGGTGGCAAAATGATACACCTTCACTTTATTATTTTCCATATCCAGTAAAGGCTAAACCAAAAACCATCAGAATGATAATTCTTCTTTCAACCAAAGTTAGCCATTTTACATAACGTCTTTCAACCAAACTTTCTACAACCAGACATGAAGAAAGATTTCTTCATTTTCTAAACGCTACAATTGATTCCTTCAACCAACAAGATTTCGTGGCACAGTAACAACGTATAATTTTGCAATTCTAAAGGAGTACGATGCAATTTTTTCTAAAATATCATACGTATTTTTCTACTCCAGGTATGTAAAGGCTATTCTTTTTTTCTTTTTAGCATGATCTATACGAACGAAACGAGCAAATGCACAACTTTCATAAATTACTCTATTCGTAGAAATATTAGAGATGTGTATATTCATGTTCTCTCATGTGTCATATTATTCTATCATCTGTTTATGGGTTTCAAAAATACGTAAGTTGGCAAAGTTTATTTCATGATATTAATCAGAGACATAATGATCTTATGACGTACCGAGATATTTTATTAACTTATTTTCACGTGCATTTCATGCATTTACATATGCACATTGACCCATGACCAAACGGCGTTATATACGCATATATATGTATATTATATTTTTATGGGATATGGAAAAAAGTTATGGCGTTATATATGCACCACCACCTGATCAGCTGGTATACGTTGATGATTTTGCCCACAGTGGCCGAGATGATATGATGGGATGTCCTTAGAAGCCTGATGATGTTACGAAACATGTACCTATGCACGACATGACATTCATACGCATATGCATGACACTATAATTATTTCATGATTTACAGAGCTAGCCATACTTACAAGTTGAGTCCGTTACTTTATATTTCTTCCATGTATGTTATGTACTTATTTATGAGTGTTATATACTCGGTACATTATTCGTATTGACGTCCCTTTTGCTTGGGGACGCTGTGCTTCATGCCCGCAGTCCTGATAGACAGGTCGAGAGTCCTCCAAGTAGGCTATCAGCTCAGCGGAAGGTGTTGGAGCGCTCCATTTGCTCTGGAGTTGCTTATGTGGTCAGTATGATTAGGACATGTACTGATTAGTATAGCAGGGCCCTGTCCTGACCTTTATGACATTTATGTACTCTTAGAGGCTTGTACACATATGCCGTGTACGTGAAAGATTGTACGGCCTTGTCGGCTTATGTTTTGAGTTTATAAATGATCATGTTGACATATTAGGCATGTATGTCACGTGTGTATGATGATGTAATAAGAAATATACGTTAAATTGGTACTCGGTTGAGTAAGGTACCGGGTGCCCGTCGTGGCCCATCGGTTTGGGTCGTGACAGACCACTTGTAAATCCGGCTATTTTTAAATTTCTCCCTTTTTTTTCTTTTGTAACTTTAAAAAATCATCTTTCTATAGTCCAGTTAACGAAAATATAAAAGTGGCCCGAAGATGTTATTTTTATAACCACAGATTGTTTGGATATTTCTTTTTCGGCACAATAATTTGATCTTCCTATCACTATGTAGTTTGTTTCGGTGCGAATTTATCCACACTCAGGGATCGTTTGGTTCATTGATGCGACGGTGCGAGTTTATCCACACTCGGGGATCGTTTGGTTCATTGATGCGAAGACAAGGTTATTTCATGGGCTGTGATATTTGAAGGGATTAGCTATAAGATCGGGTGACACTACATACTACTTGACCAACCGCTTTGAAATGTTAGAATAACAATATCTACTAGTGGTTAATATGTTAGTTGAGATGAAAGTTGTTGGCGGACGTCACAATTTTACCCTTGCATTTACTTTCTTTTAGTTCTACTCCGATCCCTTTATTCCAACTTGATTATATTACTAAAATTTTAAGTTAAATGGGAAGAAAATCGACTTTATTTTCCCAAAATTAATAAAATTATATGTCTTAGAAATACATAATACCCTGTTCCGGTCATGGAATAGATGAAATAAATCAAAAAATGNGCTTTAGGTTAGGGAGCTGGACGATAATAGCTCCTCCGCATCCCAAAGCGCGCTGCCCTCCTAGGCGCGCAACACTAAGTAATCCAAGCCAACCCACATTACTGACTAACGGTGGATAATCATATTTCTTAGAGGTACTAAATACAACTCCATGAATGAGCAAAATGAAGGTTGCAATTGTAACATCATACAAAATTTCCTATTTAAACCTCAATAACAAAAAAAAAAAAGTAGGAAAAGCTTCAATAATGAAAATATTCTTTGACTTAGAATATTCTTAACTGTTATAAAATAAAGACTATAAAGTAAAGACAAGTATAAGAGAAACTGATACATTATTCGAATTCAAACTGATGTACATAATGAACTGAAATCTCTTCTATTTATAGAAGAAAGAAAGCTGCTGTGTAAGCTGCTACTATACCAGATATGGATAGTCTTCTACTCAGAGCAATGTTTATCCATAACGGAGTACTGAAAGGATAAGCTTATTATACCTGATATGGATAATCTTCTACCGGGGGTAATGTTTATCCATAACTGGGTACTGAAAGGATAAGCTTATTATACCCGGTATGGATAATCTTCTATCGGGGATAATATTTATCCATAATTGGGTACTGAAAGGATAA